AAATATTATTATATATTGTAGAGATTATAGGAAGAAAATAAAAAATTAGTTATAATTTTAATTAGCTAATTGGATATGATACGAGTAACGCGTTGAACGATTTCTAAAATAGGCAATAAAGTAACGAAAAAGTGCGGAGTAATTAATTAATTTAATAGCAATCACAACGTCCATAGTGTTATCAAAAATTTCAAGTAATTAAACTAGCTGGCAATCACGTTGCAATAATTATATAATAATATTAATCATAAATAAGAAAAGCTTTTTTTTTTTCTCAATTATGTTTCACGATAACGTGCCTGAAGTGCCTATCTCGAACTTGTTTAAAACTTTTGAAATGTTTAATTTGAAGATATTGTTAATACTTTTTTTTGTTATTGTATACATTTATAATATATATAAGAAATTCTGAAATAAATATATATATATATGTATAATTTACTATTGATACAATATCAAATCACAATGACGCGCGTAAAATTGTTATAAGCAATCGATAAAATTGAAAATTACTGATGAGACGACATTCCCGCGCACTTGTATATAATTTATAATTAATTAATTATTTAACAATTGTGTGTATGTGTGTGTTTGCGCATTTGGTAAAAATAATATTGCAAAAATTGACTAATTATAAATATGGCTTATAATCGATCTGGTTGAACACAAAGCTCTATGTTTGCATTTCTTTTCTTTCTCATTATTTTCTTTTTCTTATTCTTAACTTTTAGATTTAAAACTATAATACACAACAAAACAAGTAGCTATTATTAGTGCTAAGGCTATTACTATTAAAATTAATCTTTGTTGAAGACTTCGAATAATCATCCCTGATAACAAACGAGATCCACGTCCTAGTTCTGCATCCGTGTCTCGTAACTAGAAATAATAGATATAACAATTTAATATTGAAATTATAAATCCATATATTTACTTTAATGAGAAAAGAAAACTTATCGATTATGCTATAATGTTTTTAGAAATTTATATACATAATATATAATATAATATAATATAATGTAATATAATGTAATATAATACTAACCCGTCCTCTACCTCTCTGAATTGTTTCTCTTTGATCATGTAATTCTTTTAAAACTTGTGATCCAATTTCCTCAGTTTCTAATACCATGCGATAACCATTTTGCAATGTTCTTCCAGTTCTATCTATTCTATCGGAAGCATCTAATAATCTTTTCTTTTGATCTTCTGTAACATTGTTCTCCCATGAATCTTCCACAGCTATATCAATGCTATCTTCTTTTGGTCTTTTCGCTGAATGAAATTCTTGCGTTAATCGTTTTAATTCTGCTCTATGACTTTCCACGCGACCACGTAAACGGTCACGAGCATTTCCACTCATCCCACGAACTTCCAATTCCATTTGCTCAAGCTAGATAAATTCAATGAAATTAAATTAATTATAGAGGCCTATATTTTATAATACGATAACGTAGCAAGATAATGTAATAATAATATAATAGTAATAATGCATCCACATTTTTGTGATATTATTAATATAATAAACAACATGTATATGTGTATATATATACATACACACAGAAATGTTCTTCAATCAATATTATAATGTAATAAATAATCAATGAGTTAACATATCAAAATAATTATATTAATATTTTGTATAACAACAATATTAATCAATCAAAACAAATAAGAAAACTGTAATGAGTTAATTTATGTTTTTGATTCTTTCAATTACTTTCACTAACTGATATCTATTATTTTTTGTTTTTTAAATCAAGCTTTTATTGTGTGATATATAATTTTATGATTGGTTAGGATATTAAAACTATTCATTTTAATGCATTGTGTTCATAAGTGTAAGAAAAAAATGCAAAAAAAATGTTTTTTTCTTACCAATTCTTGAGCCTCTTCGATTTCTCGATCAACATCTTGAATAAGTGCTCTTTTCTCACCTGTGTATTACGTCACATGTGTATGTTATCGATTATTATTTAACAATGTCAACGTATAAAAAGAAATACATAATGTTAATTAATCGAATAACGTAAGTAAAAGTTTATTTTATATACAAACAAAATATACTTACTACCACTTTGAATTCTTATTCTACCAATTTTTGCAGTAATGTCAGCTGTCAAAACAGCGTATTGTTGTTCGTAGTTGTCAATGAGCGACGCCATCTTTGAATATGTTTTTTTTTTACATAGACTTAATAAATTCTAAGAAACGAAGCTATTTAAAGTTTGATAATTTAATAAATTTTTTATTTTATTTCAAACATTATATGTTATAATCAAAATGTTGTTTCGTAAAATAAAAGTAAAGTCGTTTTTTATAACTAAGTATATGTAAATAAAAATTATGAAAAATTATGACAAACGAAAAATTAGAATCAAATAACATTTTCTCAAATATTTAGGTAATAATGAAAAACAATAATCAAATATTATTTTTTAATTAAGTTTTAATACGTTTTATATTATAATTATTATCAAATTTCGAGTTAAGAGAGATTAAATATTAGATTTTCGTATAAAATTGAATTTGATTGGCTACTGAAAGTGACTTCCATATTGTTGAAAAAGCAAATGGTGAACCATAGGATTTTATAAGTTCAGTTTTCCATCTAAGATGCTACCATCTCCTGGGTGACACGTCCTCAAATTTTATAACAGTATATATAATTTGTTATACATACATATATAAAATAAGAATTTTAAAATTTTCAATAGGCTTAAGATAAGTAATGAAAGAAAAGGTGTTAATTAAAAGATAATATTTAATAAAATAACAGAGTACAGTCTCATTTGTAGGAGGAAATTTGTATGAAAAAAAAAATTAAGGTGCCAAAGTAATAATGACGTTTGAACTAGATTTGTAATGTGTGGATGAAGCCACGTAATTGACACGTCACTTGTAACGAACCAATAATATTCAATTCTCTCGATTTGCTTTTTAAATGTTACTCCAATCATTTCTTTTTTAATTCATAACTTAAGTTGATCCATCCGGACATTATTAAACAGTTCAAAATGAAGATGGCCGCCGAGGTGAGGTGGCTCTTAGTATTTATTGCATTTCCGGCTTTTTCTTTGGTTTCTGCCGAAACTCCTCATGGAAAATTTGAGTATAAGTATTCCTTCAAACCACCTTATCTAGCGCAAAAGGATGGATCAGTACCTTTTTGGGAATATGGTGGAAGTAAGTAGATTGATTAACCTAACCAAGTTTTCTCATTATTGATACCGTATGTTATTTACACCATATCGGCTTTTTTAATTATTTACATGAATTATATTATTATATTAATATTGTATATTCTATTTAACATTCTTATTAATTTTGGTATTCAAAATTGTTTGATAACATCAAATTTATATGAGAATTTGAGTAAATAACATATTTTTTAATGTACTCTTTTCTTCTCCAATATTGTTTTTATTTTTATTTTAAGATATGTTAAATATTTAATGTAATGTATAATAAATTATTACAGATGCCATTGCTAGCGCTGAAAATGTTAGAGTTGCTCCGTCGTTAAGGAGTCAAAAAGGTATATCGATAACTGACAGCAATGAATTATTCTTATCATAAGAATTAATTTCTCTTATACAATTGAGTAATTTATTATTAACATTGTATTGGATTTTTTAGGTGCAATATGGGTAAAGAATCCAATTAATTTTGACTGGTGGGAAGCGGACATAATGTTCAGAATCACTGGTCGTGGTAGAATTGGTGCAGATGGTTTAGCGTTCTGGTATACCAGTGCCAAAGGTGCCTACAACGGCACTGTTTTTGGTAGTTCTGATCAATGGAACGGCCTTGGAGTTTTCTTCGACTCTTTTGACAACGACAATAAACACAACAATCCATATATTATGGCTGTTCTTAATGATGGCACCAAAATTTTTGATCATTCCAAGTAAGTGTTAGACCGCTTTATAATATAAAAATAATAGAAAATATAACTCGATGCTTATAATTATAATTCAATTTTTATCTTTCAAACAAAAGCGATGGTACAACGCAACTATTATCAGGTTGTCTGAGAGATTTTCGTAACAAACCTTATGCTACACGTGCAAGAATAGAATATTACCAGAATACGCTAACGGTTTGTAATAGTTAATAATAAATTCTTAAATATTTAATGTTTTTATATTATTTATTATTAATTATTTGAAAAATGTATATCTTCTTATAATTTTATGGTTTTTGTTTAGTTACTCTTTCATAGTGGTATGACTAATAATGAACAAGATTATGAGACTTGTTTCCGTGCAGAAAATGTATTTTTACCAAAATATGGATATTTTGGTATATCAGCTGCAACAGGTTGTTATTAGTGCTATTATCATCTTTCATTGAATTGTAAGATATCATATTTATTAGTATATAATGTTTTTTATTCCAAGGTGGTTTGGCTGATGATCATGACGTTATACATTTCTTAACGACATCCTTACATCGTCCTGGTCAATTACCTACCGATGGTTACCAAGTTTCTGCGGAAGATCAAGTTAAATTAAGTCAAGAATACCAAGATTATCAAAAGAAATTGGAGCAACAAAAAGAAGAATATCATAGGTATTATTGTATAATTATTTGATCAATGATTTATGCATCTATTATAAATAAATAAAATCCGATTTTAAAAAAATATTAATTCACAGAGATCATCCAGATGAACGTAGAGAAAAGGACGAATTCGAAGAATATTTTGAAACAGATAATCAGAGAGAATTGAGACAGATTTTTGCTGGTCAAAGTCATATGTTCAACATATTAAAAGAAGTTAGTAAAAAGTTAGATGAAGTTGTTGGACGACAAGAAAGAACATTAAGTTTGATTTCTCAAATTCAAGTGGGTGGTAAGTTTTAATCGAATACTTTATTTTGTATTTGTAATAATATATAATATTTCATAGATATAATCATATAGTTTATTAATTTTTACAGGAGTTGTAGGACAAGGACAAGTACAAGGACAGGGACAGCCAATACAGTTAATAGATACCATTCGTCGGCAAGAAGTTGATGCTGTTCTGAAAAATCAAAATATTTTAATTACCGCTGCTCAAGAAATTAGATCATTTGTTGGTAATGTTAATAACAAAATGGAAACCATTTTGAGCAATCAAGCCCGTAATCCGACAGCTCAAGTAAATTATATATATATATTTAATAATTATTTATTGTATAGACCATATTCGCATATGTATATATATGTGTTAAAATAATTTTGAGATTATTTATATTTAAAATTCTTTCTAGGTAAAACCAATGGGTTATGACTATCAAGCTATCATAGTCGAAATGCGGGATAAATTTAATGTACTATCGAAAGATATTGCACAAATTAATTCAAAAGTAGGAGATTGTCCATCTAATTGTTTAACAACCATGATGTTCCTTGTCTTTGTGGCTATACAAATGATACTATTGCTAGCGTATAGTTTATATCGGTATAATATATCTGCATCAAATTTTTCTTCACATCTCATATTATATTATTCTTATTTAATTATTTAAATGATAATTAATATTTTTTATTATTTTTCACAGGGACAACAAAGAAGCACAGGCTAAAAAGTTTTATTAATGGTAAAGTTAATAGTCAAAAACAGAGCTAATAGTGAATGTGTGACGACGAATCTGTAAGAGTGTATTGGGTTGGTGTTCGTATTGCTCACTGTTCGTATTCACCAACTATGGTTTTACTTGACATCTGTATAATAAATGCATCATTTCATTGATCAGGTTGATCACATTATCATTCAAATAAAATGGACAAATATTTAATCATTTGTCCTACGAATAATTCAGAACTTGAGATTTCCTTTAAGAATTTAGCGATTTCAAAGCTATTGGCTTAATATAATCATGTACATATACATAAATATGTATATGTTTATTTTTAAAGATTTTTCTTTTTAATAATTATAATAATAATAATAATAATAATAATAATAATGGTAATAATAATGAAAAAAGAAAACTATAAATACATATATTTTATTTTCAAATCTAATTAATGCAGACGAAACATTGTATATTAGCAGCTGCTCTCAATAATTTTCAACTCGTTCTAATCTATATTTAAAATTGTTGTGTATAATATATATTTTTTTACTGTTTATCGTTAAAACAAAAAGTAACAAAAACCGTAGCGTTTCGCGCTACGCGCACATGTCTTTACACTGTTTCTTTATTTCGAATGTTCTTTTTGTTTCATTAAAATCTTTTTTTGTTTATTTTTCTGTCTTTATATTTCTCTCTCTCTCTGTCTCTCTCTTTCTACACTTATTTCTTAATAATGTACTTTATTGCAAAGAATGTTTATACAACATTTTGTATCACTTTTACATGACGTAGTTTATGAATGGAAGAAATATCAGGATAATAATATTGTATCATTTTAAATAAGGTGAAAAATATATTTCATAAATTTTTCGAATCGTTTAAAGTACCATTTCGCATTTATTAATTTGATAATTAATTTAATCTAACAAAAAAAAGAAAAAAGAAATAAAAATGGAAAACTTGTTTCAGCAAATAACGCAATTTTTATTACGAATTTTATATACTCTGCTGTAACGAGTTTTTTTCTCTATCTTTTTTTTTTTTTTCGATTATCTACACTCGCATTTGGTCAGCACGTTTAGTGTCGTTGACAGGAATTTGCTAGATTTTCGATTTTATTATACGAAATGTATAGAAAAATTAAAGTAGATATGGGATAAAGGCAAGTACTATAAGTAACGATTATTCTAGATGAAATTATTTGGATATATTAGGAAATACAATATATATAGCCATAATTCTCATTGCATTTGTAAAAGTTTATGGAAGATTATAAATGTATAAGGAATTATATCTGATAATAAAACTTAAGAAAACATTTTAGTCCATCCGTCACCCTTTTTTCTTCTCTATGCCAATCTTTTTCTTTGGAACTATTTTATAATCTTCCCTTTTTATAATTAATTTTTTTATTTAATAAAAATAATTATATATGATAAAACAGTTTTTAATTGTACTTGAAAAATAAAAACGAAATAATAACTAATTCTAAATATTGCATGCGTATTATATTATATCGTAACAAAAATAATTGTGATGATAATATAAAAAATAATTATTATAATAAAAAAAGAAAAAGTTATATCAAGAAATTTACATATGTATCACTATTTATTTAATTAATTCGTTTTTTAGTTATCGATTGAGATAGAAAACTAGTCGTGAACGTAATAGTAATAATAATAATAATACATTTTTCTTTATACAATTTCAAAAAAATAATATATGTGACAAAGTAAATAACGTAATATTTTTTAATATATCCAATACTTAATATTAAATATCGTTTTCATAGAATAATTAATTCATGTTTTACATTAATTACATTTATTTATTTTTTATTTTTCAATTAGGATAAAAATGTAATTTCAAACGTAATAATAATAATTTGTCGCATCATTTTTATAACATCAACGAATATAATTTTGTATGCTATGATAATCTACGTGTATATTGTATCAAAAAATAATTAATAACAACAGTAATAATAGCAATAATATAACAATAATAATAATAATTATAAACCCCCTGCGGATTTGGGGATAAGAATTAAACCGCAGTAATCCCTGCTTGTCGTAAGAGGCGACTAAAAGGGAAAAGGGAAAATTCCCATTAAAAATGAAGACAAAAAAATCTTCAGAAATTGTTCAATGAACACAATCAACGATCAGAAAAAAACAAATAAAATTATACAACGCGTGAACCGAACAAATTAAATGAATATAAGGATGTGTCATGCATTTCTAATTTTAAGCAATAAATCTCGAAATTACAATAAAAACAGGATATCTAAAGTTAATGAAAAATGTTTCCAAGTAGAAAACAACAGACTAGAAACACGTAATTATTTATAATTAAAGATTTAATTTTACAATAAATTATATATAGAACACCGATATATAGTAATCGAAAAATTCATCCAACACATATTATTAGACAACATTAGTTTAACACGAATTTATTTATGCAATATGACGAATAAAAATATTCAGAATCTTTATAACATGCACAGAAAAGTTCGATCATTTCTAAAAAAAGAAAAGAATAAAAGAAAACAAGAAAATACTGTAAAAATGCATTCAATTAAAAAGATATGTTAATAATAATAAAAAAAAATATGTTAATAATTCTCGAGAGAAGTAAAAAAAACAAAGAAAAAACAGAAGCATAGAAAAATCATTGTTGAATTAATATCGTCGTCCATTTTTTTTTTCGAAACGGTTTCTTCATTGTAACAAAATATTTCAGCCCCTTGAGCGAAAGTTCAACCAATCAGGAATATATATAAACTACGCAGAATCCGTCAGCTCACACCCTTTCTTCGTAAAACGACGACTATTGGCTGGATATTGGCCAACCAGAAAGCATCAATTATTGATCCTTGTTTGCTGCAATCTGACAAAAGTTTTTTCTTTTTTTTCTCTGTTTTTCTTTCCTTTTTTCTTTTCTTTTCTTTTTTATTAGCAAAGTTGTAAAGTGTTTTACGACTGCCATAACTACGCGACTACCGAGCATGTTATATGAAAATAGAAAGAGAGAGAGAGAGATGGAACCTATGAGTTATTAAAATTGTTTGAACTACGCGTCTACGTGCTATTACTATGAATTAATAGATAAAATTTGCGACCAAAATCACCGTCACTGAAATATCATTTCATTTTAAACGACGTCGTTACATATATCGGATATTATATTGCAACGATTTATTCAATGCGACATTCGTGTAATCGCATTTAATATTATTTCAAAAGAAGTTCATTACATTATGTCAGTGTAAATTTATTGATTACACAACAAAAAATTTTTCTATATTAAATATTTTTTATTATCAAGTTATAACTCTCGTGTGCACAACGGAAAAAAAGAGAAAGAAAGAGAGAGAGAGAAAGAAAGACAGATATTTTTGCTTTTTTGTCCACAAAAAATTCAACAACGCGTTATCAATGTAAAAAAAAGAAAAAAAACGTCCTATGTTTATCCACGATGAGATTGTTATCTCAGCGAAGTGGTGGAAATGCGGACTACGAATTGACGAGTAACATAAAAGGGGTTGTTTCCGACCGACCCCACCTAAAATTACAATTTAAGGAAAAATTACTGGCACTTTGCTGTGCAAACAAGCCAGCCACCCCGTAAATACGTTTCTCTAATGGCGCAAAACGTCATATCGAGCGTGCGAGAAAATATGCGTGGGAATTAAAAACGTTTCGGCAAGTGTTTCGTGAAGAAAAAAAGAAAAAAAGAAAAGATAAAAAGACAAACCAAAAAAGAAAAAATCTTAGATCAATACTCGTGTGTCTTATTCTTATTTCCATTTAAAAAAAAAAGAAAAAAGGAAAAGGTATATAAGAGATAAGTAAACGAAAAATTATGAATGGTTCGAATGTTGTTTATTCAGACGTGTAGATAAAAGAGTGCACTTTAATTTAATATAAGTTTTATTCAAATTCATTTGCCAAAAGTATAAAAAATATTTACCAAAACTTTTCAAAGAAATTGCAAAGATGCACAATTTACAGCATTGCATTCTCTGACATTTTCTGAACTTTACATGCTGAATTTATAACTCAAATTTGTATTCTATGTGTAGATAAAAGAGTGCACTTTAATTTAATATAAAAATCATTAATATTCGCTTGCAATAAGTATAAAAAATATTGACCCGAAACTTTTCAAAGAAATTGCAAAGATGCACACTCTACAGTATTGCATTCTCTGACATATTATGAACTGTTGCAGATTGATTTATATCTCAAAGAAGTATTCTACTCGTAGGCAAAAGAGTTTACTTTAATTTAATATAAAAATCATTAAAATCTGCTTGCTATAAGTATAAAAAATATTGACCCGAAACTTTTCAAAGAAATTGCAAGGATTATTATTTTGATCGTATTTTGTGATTATTCACATAATATAATAATATATAATATTTTTTCTTGTTTTTATCTCTCTCTCTTTCTCATAGATAGTTTAACGATAAATCTGGATAGTATCTAAACGTGATTCATAAAGTGCATAAGAGGGTGACACAATAGCAGGGAGGGTTTAGGTTCAATACAAAATGTAACGTTGGTACTTTCGTTCGATACTACTGTGACAAATCAAAATATATCGAATTGATCGACAACGCGTTTGGGGTGGCTAGAGGTGGGTAGGTGGGGTTGGGGGACGGAAACGGTTATTTTGTAATGGATATGCGTGAATTCGTTCACGTTAGTTCGTACACTCGTATTAGGAAGAAGGATTCTCATGAAGAAAGTGGAAAAAGGATGGACGATGGGATGATGATTTAGGGGATCGTGGGTTAGGTAATTCAACGAGAGTGATTTGGTTGATCGAATTTGTGAATGTGGAACGTGGTGGCTCGTGTGTATCGGTTCAATTGATTAAAAGCCCCTTTCTTCCCCCCCCCATGCACTTTTTGCGATGCAACGATCGATTGAAAATCATATTTCCGAAAATAAAAAGGGGACTCCGATTGACTTTTATGCAGGGAAATTGTGTTATCACCCTTTTAGATGTGATATACTTAACGTATTATGTAATATATTATGCTGGTGTTATATATATATATATGTTGTTATACTTGTTTTATTTATTAGGGGGAAAAAAAATGACAGAATATTGACGTGATTCGTGGGATACGATATATAGTTTCTACCCTCTTTTATATATTCATATTATATAA